CTTTGATTCAGTTGTCTCAGTATACAATTCAGAACGAGATCAGCAATGTTCAAGGAATTCAAGAATATCGCTAGTTCAACATGACGAAAACAACATGAAGGATGGTGTTGAGCGTACTTGCTTGCTTTTTTGTTCAACATGTGTGTATTTGCCTGCCACAGTACAAGCGCCTATTCAAAATCCTTCTTGGGGATAATGAAGTGCTGTATATCTAAGCATTACGTTTCAAGTGTTGGCGTCTGTGGCGGTTCAATGTGCTGCAACTAACTCAGATAAGTGAGACACTGAACATCTTCAATTTCAAAGACGCAGAACCCTGAAACGGCAGACCTTTTTCCCTGTAAAGTAAAACGTCTAAAGGTGTGGTTGTGTCATTCAACCTCGCAGTACGTATGCTGATGGCCTTATAATTTTCACAAACTTGACTAAGTATTCGAAGTATTTGCTTGCTCTAAATTGTTACAATAAGAATGTAAACATTCAACTATCAATTAAATCTGGATCAACTCAATCACTTTCAACAGCTTTGAAGTCAGCACTTATCACGGTCATTTTGCATTTGTATCTTTGAGTCCTGTCAGCCATCCTAGACACAAGAAAGACTTTAACATCTAAACTACTCTGTTGGAAAATTCAGCTTCAGAAATGGGGGGCAGGCAGAGAGGGGGGCCGCCGATGGATTAACCACCAATAGACCTTGGACGAACCTTCTGAACCCCAAACCTTGACGAAGCGAGGTGACCAGGACGAAGGGAAGAAGCATTGATGAAGCTGTGACAACGAGCGTGTTCCGGCCTCTTATCTTGCACCCGAGAGTTGCCGAACTGCAGCCCCAATCAGGCCTAGACGAAGCGGTCGAAGCATTGACGAAGGGACCAGGGTTGGACAAAGGCCAGGGGGCTTGGACGCACGTTGTCCATGGTTCATGCGGTGGTCGACCTTTGGGCAGCCCCCCTGCTCTGAATCGCTTACGCCTGAAGAAAGGATAGAGATACCACACAAAGATGACTTCGTGCTTTCCTACTTGGTTTAACATGGTTACACAAAGAACTGTTTGAGGTATTGATTGAGCTCCACATTTCAACCCCTATTGAATAAGTGGAACATATTGAATTAGTGCGAAACGCGTGTTTCGAAGTCACGCAAAGTATTCACGACGGCAAGGCCAATAGTAGTAATGTGTGTGAACATCGTGGTGGCAGCAATGCCCAAACGCACAATGCCTGCAACAAGACAAACATGAGCTGAGGCTTCAGAATGGGCTTCTATCTGCAATCATCAACCTGTCGCTGTCACAATCTCCCCTAGAAACAACCTGTTTTATTTCCAGCTCTGGATTCGCCTGCTTCACCAGTCAGTCCCATGGTGTCTAATTGGTGCATCTCAGCGTGTCAGCAAGCTACATCAAGAATTGAAGCCTGACGTGAGCGAGCCGTGGAGGATGGAACGGACGCGGTCCAGCGCCGGTTCGTGTGGCGCCTTGAAGCAGGGCAAGTAGATATCAAAGTGGAACGAGCCTGCAGATTCTGAATTCCATGCACGGCCTGCAAGGCAACGAGGCTCTCTGATAGCGTTGCGCCCTGTAACATGTATTCCGCTGGTGGTCACGATGTACAAGCAAACATACGATGAGGCTCACGCCACAGACAAAGGCATTGGTCGACTGAGTTGACTCAGTCGACTCCCTCCAACTCGGTCTCCTTCGCCTGTCAAAAGGTGCAGATGGTGCAACGTCCAAGGCTGCATTAAAAAAGAACTCAAAGAGATCCCGGGCTATGTGGAATGTGAAAAGCAGTCAAACTACCCGTCTTTTGATTTCTAGACAAATGGGTCGCACTCTTCATGATTTTTGTTGGATGTCTGAAGGACAGCAAGAAAGGGTGAACTGGGACAGGAGGTGCATGGCACAAACTCCCAAAAAGCACAAATGGGAATCGGCTTGGAATTGACTAGCTCCTAGCATGCCCAGCGCTCCAAGTAAAGCAGGTTCTGATGACATATCCCGTGGCAGTGTAGAGCTGCAGAGCTACATGTGTACATGCGTTTACAGTTGGCACCTCAGAATTTGAACTGTATATTCTTGGGATGCTGCAGGACAGACTGACAGTGATACCACCTGTGCCTGCTCAGTGTGTTGGAGGAGATGGCGCTTTTGGGTGACTGCAATTTCTCTTCAACGTGGAAGGTAGAACTACACTGTGGAAAGTTGCGCCATGCCATCACACGAATCGGGAAAGCCGCGCTGCCTGATCGGAAGCCCAGATAGGCTGAGTATGTTTCAGCCAGGGCGCCTGTGTAGCCTTGCAAGACCCGGGACAATCTGAACCACGCATGACGGTCTTGCACTGCAAGCTGCCTCAGGCCACTGCTCTGTATGGGGGCACTGCCGGAGTCAATGCTCCTGAGCTCTGATATCATGGAACATGGAGCAAAGGACTACGGCCCAAACGACCTGACGCAACTTACGAAGTGTGGAGGAAGGTTGTCATGGCAGTATTTGACATTCATGCTCTGCTTTCAACTTGCGGACACGCTTGCTCATTACCGGCAATATCCAGGAATTCAGATGGCATAGCATGATGCGTGCTTGATCCCCGCTCTTGCCCGAGTGCACTGCTGCGCAGTGCTGGGAGCGCTGCGCACCTTCACTCTGAGCCAAGGCGAAACAAATGAGTGCACAGGATCACAGGCCAAGATCCAGCCCAGCTGAGGTCTGAGCCGAGTTGTAATCATCTCGATGGCTCCCCTATTATGGCGCAAATGGGCGCAAGTTCATTTAGTCAAGTTGCGCATTGCTGCCGCTTAAGACACGTTGAGAATGCAGAGGTTCTGTAGGCGTGGCCAGACAGAACCTGCTGTTTGGCCAGTGTTGCCAGTGCTTACTGCTTGAGTTCCAGACTAAGGCAGTCCGCCAAGCCCGGTCCTGCAGCAATGCTGGCAATGACGCTATCAGCTATCACAGCATGTCTCAGCACCTCTGGCCTTGTGAGGCTGTGCATGTCCAGCGGTCATAACTGGATCGAGATGATCGAGTACACTGGCCCAAGCCCAATCTAATTTGGAAGTTACTCTGTACCGTAGACTCGAGTATCTACAACATGTATTGCTGACCGACGGCGTATGACACTATGACATGATGGACTGGCAAGAACAGCTCCGCTAGCTTGCTGCTACAACAATAAGCCGTAGACATTGCGCGCTTAGGTTTATCCACGACACACTGATCTGAAGCATATTCTCACATTCCCCATGACAAATGGCTAGTGTCATGTAGTCGCGTTCCTCGATTCAGTCGCGCATGGATTGCAAACTGGACACAACATACACACGCAGTAACTCACGGCTTCGATGAAGGCCAAGCAAAGCATGTTTTGCTCTGCAGCAACCGCGTCTTGCAACTGCTCCGAGATATCTACAAATCTATGCGTTTTCCCGTCCAATCAAGCGCCACAGCGGTCCACGACTGGATAGCCAGCGAACATTTGTCCCATCTGGGATCAGGCGTCCCTGCGCTTTCCAGTTCTGATACTCCTTTCGGGTGAAGCGGGTGAACCCAAACTTGGAGGAGATGTGGACCTTCTGACGGCCAGCGAACTTGAACTTCGCACGCCTTAAGGCCTCCACAGCGATCTGAATCTTCTCGTCTTTGGTCCGAACCGAAATCAGGACCTGGCCAATGTCCACTCGAGCGGCTGTCCCATAGGGCTTTCCGAATGCACCCCGCATACCGCTGGACAATCTATCTGCTCCAGCACATGACAGTGTCTTGTTGATGCGAAGAACATTGAAGGGATGAGGTCGCATGCGAATGTGAAAGAAGTCTCGACCTGCGTTGGTGATCATGTACTTGTTGACCGCAATGCGCGCCGCTTCTAAAGCCTCACTAGTCAACTGCTGGTCTTCGTCACAAACCAGATGTGCACAGGCAGGATACTCATCGCATGGCATCTTCTTCTTGCCCACATCGAAAATACGGATCTTTGGATCAGGCACACCCCGGCAATACCTGGTCTTCGGATATGGCTTGTTCTTGTTGTACCGGTAACACTTGGCTGGGCGCCTGCCCATGGCCAAAATGGCAGCTTGAGAGACAGCTACACAGACACAGTATACTGCAGATTGGACCTGACCGGAGCCGAAACAGCCCCATGCATGGTATTGCTTGTAATGTACAATTCAATGAAATAAGTCAACATGGAATGCTCTGCATGGTTGCTCCGGGTCATCTGCCATGACCGAATCTCAAAGCAAATCAGCCAAATCATCAGCGCAGTATGGCACTAGCTGCAGTGCTAATATCTGTCGCAGTCGCCCTGACTCAAGGTACACAGCTACATGTTGCACATTGCCAAGCCCGGTCTTAATCGCCTGAGCGTCTATACGGCTTCTTTCAGGAGCGGATTTGCCCGAGAATTTGACAAACGAATATTTCTGTTGTGCTTGCTCGTCACTAAACTGTTACTTTGCGTTCACAAACTCTTTGAGACAATCTCCATGTCCCCAGTTCCACTGCTGGGGGATCGAGAAAGCTTGCGGTGGATATATCTCTGCCACAAGTTTGACATGTTATGCCCATGGGTGTGAAAGATCCTTTCAACTCCACTTCCGATCGATTCATAGAAAACCTCTCCAACCTGCATGCCCTGCCCTGGGACCTGTGCGGCCATAGTGGGAGCTTCAAAGCAACGCATGCAGGGCTGGCGCATCATCCAGGCTGAAGCCCTTGCACGAACCCTGTCCTCAACAGTCGCATCTAGAATCTAGAGTGAGGAGAGACCGGTAGAACACCTTCCAAAACATCCGGAGTCAGCAAAACACAAGAGCCGCGCTTGTGCATTCCTTTATGATTTGCTGTCCTTTGTGGTGAGACGCAGCCCGATTTGACATCCCGGTCTTGGCACACGTGCATTTCATGCCGACTGTCTTCGACAGTCTTCATGTGCATAGCTTGCTAGCTTCGGGCGGTCAAAGCGTCCGCTGGTGGGACCAGGCTTCGGTGGTTAGACACACTTGGTAGGCTGGCGGGGTGAAGTGGACAGAATCTTCAGGTGCCAGCTTGGCAAGCCAGCCATGCCTTCAAATAGGTTCATGAACTCATCGGCCGGAGCAGTTGGCTCACGATCCACGCTGCACTGCGTCAGAGGTCCTCCTGGATACCTGATAGCACAACGGGTTGCTGCTGCTGCGCCACAGATTTGCTGGTCGTGGCATGTTGGCGCACGTCCTCACTGAAGACATCGAAATGGTAACACCACCGGCAGCAGCAGTTCCTGCGGGCTCCAGCCCAAACCTGCACAGTAACACTGGGCAAAGCAATTAGAAGAGAAGAAGTCCTTGCGTCTTATTGCCCTCATCTCGTCCGATAGTTACTGGACCCGAGGTAGCTATGAAGTTCGAGGAAAAAAAGCCCAGAGTATGTGTCAACTTGTTGACGACCAGTCTGGCGCCTTAGGAAACCTCGACAAACGTGGAAGGCCAGTGCCGTCTTAGATTTTGCTTCAACTTGCACCCTGCCCCAAGTTCAGCTACGGCACAGGCTGTAAACAGGCTAAAGTGTCTGAGAAATTGCGTGGTTAGTGACTTGCAGAGTCCCTCAAGAACGAGATCAGCAAGTCGATTTCTTCAAAAGGGCGCCTTTGCCGGAGTTCTTGCTCGCGGAACGGCTTTCCAGTAGACCGGTTCGTGTCTAGGTCCGGCAGACCATACCGTTTCCGTGGCGTCGTCGAGAATCCACTGACCTGTCGCAGCTGTTCAATCACAGGAACCAGTGATCTTCCCCGAGGCCGTGGCAGAACTGTCGAAAGGCCTGAATCACCGTCACTGTGGTCATGAAGCGTGCGACTGTTCCCGTAACATGCATGTCAAAGGAAAGTGTCATGCTCGCATAGTTGCAGCTGGTAATGCAGCAGCTTCTGCTGCGAATCAAGCAGCGCAAACGGCGCAAACTGGAGGACCAAAAGTTTCTTTTTCGGTCGGCCATATCATGCTCCACCATAGTGCCGCGAGTCTGTTGTAGCAGCACAATCGGAAAGAGCTTGCCAGCCATCATAGGTCTTCACCAAGAACATAGTCGATCACATCTTTCCAATTCACATGATGTGTTGTGTTTGGGCAACCTGTGTCACCTAGGCGTAGTGAGCCGTGGGATAGGTCTTTGGTGCTCGACATCAGTTTTTGGTCAATGCCGAAGAATCCGCTGTGCACTGAGGTGCTCGGGGTTCAGGCATTTGGGGGCCACATACCGGGATGGGGCCACCCACCTGAGCTTAATGTTTCTAATCATTTTTTGCCTTAAATATTACATAATGTGTTCAAACGTGCTTCAAAAAAAGAAGTCAGGACAAGTTGCGTAACGTGGGCCAGCGTGTCTGACGATCAAGGCCCAAGGAGTGGAGCTCCAAATCTATAGCCTGCCCACCCATCATCCCACGGGCAACAAAACGTCACCATTTTGTGGCAAAAGAAGTGAGTGGGACTTCAAACTTTGAGCCCGGAGGCCTCTGGCAATCTGCTGTTAAGGCGTCGCATGGACCTGGACCGTGAGTCTCAGTACCTGAATCTTCAAAGAACCCCCATTTGCCAGGAAGGACCCCACCCCCCCCATATCCCTCCCGTCAACCCACCCCCCCACCCTTCCCTCCCATAGCTTCTTTTATGCTTCGCCATCCGTCCAGCTCCTTCGGTCTTGTTGCCGCACCAAGTGAGCCACAGCCAGAGGCTTGGAACAATTAAAGACTCTCCGCAAGATCAGTGTCCCTGCAAGCAGGGGGGGGTGGTAATAATAAATCACGGGGACATTGGTCGGTACGAAGTAGTACAAGTATAGTACAGGTAGGGCAAGTAAAGTATAGCATAGTATAGTATGGTATAGCACAGTACAGTATAATGTAGTATGATTTAGTGTAATTAGTGGTAATGGTGACGGTCTGCTGCTGCGAGTCTACAGCCCTCTGAGCTCTCGGTCTTCGCGAACTTCTATAGAATTGGTAGTTCAAGGCTAAGGCTCGAAGCTTCAAAGCCTTAGAAGTACTATTAGATTCCAAGCTTGGCTTACAAAGCAGAAAGAGCTCTTCTGAAAGATTAGACCTGCTGCAAGGAGGTTTATTATTGCCACCCCTTTGTAATTG